CTTCCTTGATCGCTGTGAATCTCTAAAGGTACTCCAAAACGACAGAAGACTTTATGAAATAGTTTATCTGCAACTGTTGAAGCTTCTTGATTTGGAATGGCGAAGACTTCTGGCCACTTAGTGAAGTAATCCATCACTACCATGAAATACTTGTTACCACTTTCAGTTTCTGGAAACGGCCCCGCAACGTCAATGGCTATCCTCTCCCATGGTGCACCAACATTGTACAATTTCAATGCGCCTCTACTACGAATTTGAGGTCCCTTTACAGCCGCACAACTTGTACATTTGCGGCACCAGTCCTCGACATCGTCACGACAGTGGACCCAGTAAAACCGTTCTCGGATCTTCAGGAGAGTTCGTTTAACTCCCAGGTGGCCTCCTGAACAACCACTATGGTACAGCTGTAGAATATCCGGCACTTTAGCCTTAGGGACAACCATTTGCATATGACACCTGTCTCCCCGACCATTTTCCCATTTACGGCACAGGACTCCATCCTGAATCAGCAAGCTGTCCCATTGGGCCCAATAGCTTTTCGTGGTCGAACTCATTGCTGAGACGTCGCTCCACTTGGGCTTAGGAGCACTGGCCTTCAACCATTCCAGAATCGGCTTAATGTCCGAATCTTCCTGCTGTGCATGTTGTAGGCTGTCCTTCCACTCATTGCTGAGCTGGTCTGTCCTGAGCATTCTCACAGATACCACTTCCTTACCCTCTTGCCTAGTACAATGCTTGCAATCTTCAGGGCAAGGTCTTCTTGACAATGCATCTGCATTGCCATGAGATTTCCCGCTGCGATGTTCGATCACAAAGTCGTATTCCTGCAGTAGTTCTATCCATCTCGCAACTTGTCCTTCCGGATTTTTGAACTGCAATAGCCATTTCAGTGCAGCATGGTCAGTTCGTAAGTGGAATTTCCGCCCTAGAAGATATTTGCTAAAATGCTGCAAGGACTTTACCACAGCAAGCAATTCCCGTCTTGTGACACAATAGTTCCTTTCCGGCTTTGACAACGACTTGCTGAAGTACGCTATCACAATCTCTTGATCACCATTCCGTTGAGACAACACACCGCCAAGTCCTATATCACTTGCGTCTGTGTCAACTATGAATTCCTTGCCCGCATCAGGGTACCCCAAAATAGGTGTTTTGCACAGGCGGTTCTTGAGCTCCTGGAATGCAATATCGCAACTTTCATCCCAGCAGAATTGTCGCTTCTCCTCGGTTAGCTTGTGCAGAGGTTTGGCTATATCTGCAAAGTTCTTCACAAATCGCCGATAATAAGAGCACAAACCCAAAAATGCTCTAACCTGTGTCTTGTCTTTTGGGACCGGCCACTCCTTGACAGCAGCAATTTTCTCTGGATCCGTGCGGATACCTTCTTCCGACACTACATACCCCCAAAAAACTAACTTGCCGTTTGAATAGTGAGCACTTCTTTGGACTCAACTTGAGGTTGGCACTCTGGATTTTCATGAGCACGCGTTCCAGGTTTTGAAGGTGTTCCTCAAACGTACGGCCTACGATGATGATGTCATCCAAATAGACCAGACGAGCATCTCCAATTAGCCCGGTAAGTACAAGCTCCATCAACCTTTCAAACGTTGCTGGAGCATTGCACAATCCAAACGGCATGACTTTGAATTGCCACAGACCCTTTCCTGTGGAGAATGCAGTTTTCTCCTTGTCCTTAGGGTCAATTTCAACCTGCCAGTAGCCACTTTTCAGATCTAGCGTACTAAACCACTTTACGCCTGTAAGCATATCCAGCGTGTCATCAATTCTTGGCAAGGGATAGCTGTCCTTCTTTGTAATGTCGTTCAGGCGGCGATAGTCAACACAAAACCGCATGCTGCCGTCCTTCTTCTTTACCAGGACCACAGGTGAACACCATGGACTAGATGAAGGTTCAATAACACCATCCTTCACCATTCCCTCAATCATGGTTTCCACTTCCTTTTCACGTGCTACAGGCAATCTTCTTGGCCGCTGACGAATAGGCAATTCTTGTCCTGTGTTTATTTTGTGTTGAACTAAGCCAGTCTTTCCTATGTCAGCTTCGTTTGACGAGAAAACATTGGCGTACTTGAGTAACAACTTCTTCGCCTTGACCATTTCATTCGGGGAAAGAACGCTGCGACAGTCTTCCAAAAGTGTGGTCACTATCGTTTGTCCATCCTTGCTGGGGGTCCCGGTCGATAGATATTCGCATCGACGCAACCAATCCACTTCCTCACTAGTACCAACCAATGTGCCTTTTTCTATAATCTGTTCCTGATCACAAAGGTTCAACACACGTACTCCTGAGATGTCGGTGGTTCTGACCAAGGTTCGAGCCACTTTCCATGGAAGGTCATTGTCTACCCTTCCCACGAGTACACAACGATGGGCTTGCCCAGGACTCCGAGGAAGACTAACCGGCACAATCGTTTCCGATCTCGGCGGAAGAACAATCTTCTTAAGGCTGTACACATTCCCTGGTAACGCCCCTTCCACGAAAAGTTCTTCTTGTCCACATTTCAAAACACCTTGCTTAACGTCGATCTCACAACAATTCTTCCTCATAAAGTCTAGGCCCAGGATGCAGTCGTCCATTATATCAGCCACGATGACATTATGCAGGTAGATCATGTTGCCTAGCTTCAACTCCATCTCCTTCTCTCCACGGACGGGTATGCGCTGACCGGTGGCTGTCACCAAATTAATGCGTTCTCGGTTGTATGCGGAGTCCCCAAGGAACCGACTTATAAGTTGGGAACTGACAACCGTGCGAGAGGCTCCAGTGTCTATGGTCAGTTTACACGGCGTTCCGTTGACTTCGCCCTTGATGATTAGGCTGTTCCCATCATGGGTTTGTGAGATCGAAATCCTTGGGGCTCTTTTAACATCAGCCAGCACCCGCCCCGCAGTCCTGGCTTTTACTCGTTTCCCTGCTGCTGCTGGGCGGTGCTATTATCCGCACTACCCTCTCGAGATCGATCACCTTCCCTTTCTACAGTTCGTTTAGGGCAGCTGGATCGAAGATGGCCCCTTTCCCCACAGCCGTAGCACCTAGGGTTATAGCCCTTATTGCGGTCCTGAACTGTAGCTGCTGCAACCTCCCTGACGCGGTGGGAACGATGATCCTGCCGCACGGCTTCCACCTCCAGTGCATAGGTCAGGGCGTCCTTAAGCGTCTGGTGGTGCCCGAGCCTCACAGCAGCTCTGACTTCAAGGTCGCGGATGCCGTCGATGAAAGTCTGCACCAGGTTCCCTACAATGAGCACAGGTACAGACTGGTACGCTTTTCGAACCAGCTTCTCCACCTCAAGGGCCCACTGCTGCAGGTTTTCGTTACTGCGTTGCACGCGATCTTTGAGCTGCGCACGAAAGACGTGTTCCAGGTGAGCATCGCCATATCTCGCCTCCAATGCCTCAAGGAGCTGCTCGTAAGTCACTTCCTTACCGAGCGCTTCCAAAACAGTTAAGGCCTGGTCGCGTAGGCCTAGGGTGAGAGCAGTCATGGCCTGACTTTTATTCCAGCCGTTCGCTTTCATGACAGCCTCGAACTGGATTTTGTAGGCCGACCAGGAAGAACTCCCGTCGAACGGCGGCACTTTGAATCCACGTAGCGAAGGTGTTGTAGCTACCACGGGAGCTGTGATTCCATCCCCAAGTTTGAGGTCGTCCAGCGTTTTCTTCACATCAGCCATCACGTTGTCAACCCGATTGTTCACTTGGTCGATTCGGGTTTCAGCTTCCGACAGGCGGTTGTCATGTTGAGCAACCCTATCCTTCACCTCCTTTATCTCTTTCCCGAAGGTAGCGTGAAGGTCCTTCCTGAGGAGCATCTGTTCTTCCATACCGCGCTGCAGCTGCTCTTCCAGCCGACGGGTCTGTTCCTCCTGTCGGCGGGCCTGTTCCTCCTGTCGGCGAGCCTGATCCTGCAGCATCATCATCAGAGCACCCAAGTCAGGTGCTGCAGATGCAGGAGCTGCTGACGGGCCAGCCTCCGTGGTTAGCAACTGGCCCTCCGACGTTTGCGGCGTTGCATTACCAAATCGTCTCTGGTCCATCTCCTGTTGGCGTTGACTTCGGGTACGGATACCCTCCGTGTCGTCTTTAGGTAAAATCGGCATATTTGATCCCACTTCTGACACCAATTGTTACGAGCTTCGGGTTCGAGACAATTAAAAACTGCCGATTGAATTACCAAAATTAACACTTTAATTCCACAACACTAATTACAATCTAAAATCACACTAATAATAAAACACAGTTCGCCGTTATTTCGCTTCGAAGTATTCTCTTGTATCGCCAATTCAATACTGCCCCGGTCGTGGTCTATACCGGTCTTATATAGGGCTACAGATAGTTTCCAGAACCTTCTACTGTAGCGACATCTAGAATGTTCGAGTACATATCGGTCCCGAAATTTCTGGAAGGATCTCGACTCTCCTAGTTCTGCTACTCGACACTAGAGGGCGCTAGTGTGACTAGTGTTGCCATGTACAAGACATTAATAGTGGCGCGCAATACTTTCATTTACTCGACACTAGGGGGCGCTAGTGTAACTAGTGTTGCCATGTACAAGACATTAATAGTGGCGCGTAACAATATATATATTAAATAATATATATATTTTAGAATTAGATTTTTTATGAATCGATACAGCTTACGATTCGAATCGATTTAAAAAATTTATCTTTTTCAGAAAGAATCGACATCCCTACTGACGACAACAATGACATTACAAAATGGCGCCAGTTTTACGGTAGGAATTTAACATAAACATTGCAAAAATAATTAATTTTCAAATAATTTTTTTTCTCAAAAAGTATGCGTTTCCGCAAGTTAAAACTTGTGTGTGTGCTTATAGTAGTGTAACCTTTCTGTAAAAATATGTATCATCAACCAACTCGACGGACGTCAATGGAAAGCTAAGCCCATGGAAATTTTAGGTGCATGAAAATATCAATATAGACAACCAAAAAATATGAACTATTAAATTATATTACCACTTCCACTACAGAATGGTGAATCTGCAGATCCGTCTTCTAAGTCTTGCAGAATTTCTTGTTTACCAACATCAGAATCACCTACAAGTAGCACCTTCAAGAGGTAGTCATAGGACTTAGGAGCTGCAGGAGGCCTCCCTGAATTAAATATGTTAACATTGCATTCTTAATACAAAAATTCAATGTGATATTTAGAAAAAGTATTCAACTAATTATTATTAAAAAAATGTTTTATTTATTTGATACATTTATTAGCATTCCCATAAAATGTTTAAGATTGCATATGGTTATCATTACAATCAAAAAATAAAAATTACATCATAGGAGGGATATTTGCCATAGTTGCCACATTTGGCAAGCAGGTTGGCAACCACAGCTTTTTAATTTTAGTTATTATTAGGAGGATGCTGTTGCCCATCTGATTTGTTTCCTTCTGTCATCTCTTACAACACCCACTAGGTGATATGGGTTTGGATATTTTTACACTGTCACTACACGGTGGTGGATACAGATATGGTTGAGATGTTGAAATAATATCAGTTCCAAAAAAACTTAAACAGCATGTATTGATCATGAGCCGTGATGATCCTAGTGGTGATACTAGGTCATAATCATATACATGACTACATACCAGTCAAACTACTATATTATAGGGTCAGTCCGCTTTTACTCTAAAAGATGCCCTGAATTGTTGAAATGCATGTCTATATAATATTTTTAAGACAATTAAAAAAAAAACATTTGTTTCTTAAATAAATTTAAAGCATAACAGGAAGCTAATTGGCATTGAAAAAGAGTACATTCAAATGTTTATAATTATGTTTTTTTTTTTACTTTCAAAAGGCCCCTAAACTTTTGATGCATTGGCCCCTGCACGGTCTGAGACAGTCCCATAATGTATGTAATAACATTACTTCTGAAATTCACCTTTTAAACCTAAATTCAAGATTAATTAGCTCCAAGCTTTTCAAATTTAGAATAGGACTATTTGAATAATTTAGTATTTTTTTTAAACTATATATATAAGTAACATTATCTGTACCTGTTCTTTGATGATGGGATCGAGGTAAAGTAGTGCTCCCATTTTGTGCGACTTGATTAGTCGCTTGTTGTGGGGCTGCTACCATTCCGGTTGTGGTGAACATATTTTTAAATAATCTCGCCTGATCTCCAGGTGGTCTTTACCACACGCATTTGTATACATAATACCGTCGAAAATTAGTTTTTTATGCTTCCCATACACCGAACGTTCTTCATATCACGCAACTTCGATCAGTATATTTGCACCTTATACAATAAATTACTAAATTACGTGATTATGTTAATATAACTTCTACGTATAATTATTCTAATCTGTGAACAAAATAAAATAATCATACATTTGTGTACACACACAAGGTCATCATTTAAGGCAATTCCATAATTTGTTTGCTCTAATTACATGGTAGAATTAACTAACTCGAAACTAACTTTGTAAATAACAAGTACAATGTTAAAAGTTTACACTCTTGCGACACAAAAACAAGTCAATTTGCAGTTTGCACGAAAGAATTTGTTGAACGATACAAGAAGAGAGGACAGACGACGAAATTTTAGATCTGTCAGTCTGTTACAGACACAGACTATATTTTATTGTTGTTACGATTCGCCATTAAGGCAGGTAAAGGTCATATGCTATACAGCCTAATCTGATTTGTTCTTGGGAGATATTGTCGATAGCTTAATCCAGTGGACAGATGATGACGATATATCTCTAGGCCCCTAAGTGGATAAAGAAATCGAAGATTTATATCACCATCCAAACATTTGCCCCACCGTTTCCACTCATTGTACACATACGCAGACATTTAATGCACAAAATCGTTGCACTTCGCATAATTATCCAAACCTAAATTAAACAGGAGTGACATACCATCGGCAGTCAAGTTCCCAACAAAACTCTGAATTTAATTCAATATATTATCAGTGTTGCTGATGACGATAGTTAATCAATACTCTTCTTAGTCCAGTCACCTTAAGCCAAAAAAAATTAATGGAAACCTCAGAATGGGAAATAATAAGCTTACACGCATGGACCTAGAAAAAAGGGCGGACAGAGTCTCGCTAACAAACAATTGAAGCGTCGCAGTGACGGCAGCGTAACTATGTGTGAGCGTGTAGAGGGTTGCAAGATGGAGAAAAATTACCCATTTTTAAACGCAAAATAATTCAATTAGATTTAAGACATTCGTCGCCGTCCTTGGAACCAGAACTTTAAATTTAATAAAACAAAATTGTAATAAAACACATTGAATATAAAAATATTTATTATAAATATTTATTAATATTATAATTAATTTACATTTATTAACGGTTGTTTTAGAGTCCCGTTTGTTGGGTTAATTTTTTATAATATTGTCTTTTACTGTCAAAAGATTTAGAAATCTCCTTCAATTTAACTATATGGTGAAAACGAATATTCAGATATTTTTCGGCTATATATTCAATGAGAGCTATTTTATGTTTTACTCCAGCAAACGCATGGTCAAGTTTTAAATTTAAAAAAATCCTGTCGTTAGCTATATATTTTTCCACAATTTTGGTAAGCCTGTACTGATGTTGTCTTTCAGTATATATAGTTATATTATCTCTTAAATGCTTTCGGATCACCATCTCGCAAGTACAACAAAAAGGATGTATTTATTTTCTAAAAGAAAAGCAATATATCCCTTTTATGATGTATTTCTTTTCTAAAAGAAAAGAAATACATATCGGTGAAAACATTGTAATATAACCTATTCAACTAAAAAAGAATCATCGAAAACGTTTCGACATTGTCGGTGTAACTTAAAAAAAAAACATTCAGTCGACTTGAAAACCTCCTTTTTTTCAAATCGATTAAAAACTATTATCTCCTTAACGCGTACGTACCCCATGCGAAGCACTGGAAGTACTTGCTTCAACGAGTTGTTCCTCCGGAACGCTTGACGCCTCAAATATAAACTAAAAAATTAATTAACAACATCTCAACATCTTTCCTCTTACAAAACTGTTATGCAAATCTAAAGTCTCTAATTATTTGCAGACTATGAACTATGAGGAGACCGAATCTCTCCTTCATCCTATCAGGTAGGAAATATACTATAATATATTCATACCCAACACACCCACTCCGACACAAACACACACACACACACACACACACACCCAACCACACACCCACCCACACACATACGCCATTCACGCGCACACGCACCCTCTTACACACACACACACACACACACACACACACACACACACACACACACACACAAAACATTTCCTTCTTTTCTTTTTTTTCTTTTTTTTTGTTACTAGTTTCATCATATTCTGCACCAATATGACCTACATCCTGTGAGGAGAGACCTGGTGCTCTGAAACACAGGCTTTCAGCCTATCTCAGACGCCAGTCTTTCACAATCTAAATAATTTTGTTCCTTGGTGTTAACCCCAGTTCATAACTATATTAGTTTTTAGATTGTGGAGAAAATAAAGAATTACGTTTTAATATGTTAAGCTTATAATTGTAAGAGGAAAATAGATATTCATTGTTCTTTATCTTTTTTGGGATGGCGTAAGTAACAACGCAAAGAAGTCCACCTTTTGTTCTCTATAAATCATTCTCCTCGACATGTTTACTGCAGATTACACTAGATTTAGATGTATTCCAATTGTTTTCATTTCTACATTCTCTTATTATTTGCACCCAGTCATTCTTCCACACATCATTTGCAGAGGGAAATCTATAAAATGTCAAATTTATAATATAGGTAGTTTAGTATCATGGGGCGCCAAAAGTATATACAGAGGTAAATTAATGAATTAAGGAACAATTCAAAGTGAACAAAAAGATATTAATCTCCCATATTTATGGTAACTTGCAAATTTAATAACTAGCAACACTGATTAGTTTCGTGTTCTGATAATAATTTTTGTTTGTTAATAAAATGTTTTGATAATAAAGTATGAAATAAATTAAAGTAAAAACGAGAAATAAGGTGAATAAATTACATACTTACCTATGAAAAGTGATCCCCTGGCTTTTTTTAATGAAACCACTATGATTTCGACAGGTTTTCACTACAATGTTACGCGGACGCGGTTTGGAGCGTAATGGCGGGCGGTAGACTTACTATGGTGTGAATGTGTGCGTGCCGGCTTGTTTGTATTAGCGAGCTGACTTAGTATGGGTGCGTCAGTAATTGTTTTAAGAGACGGCGTCCGCCCTTTTTTGTAGGTCCATGCTTACACGATCCAGTTTACCGTCAAGTTTGCAGTGCGCTTGAAGCGACGTCCGGTAAACTTGACGGTGTATGGCTACCAGTGTGCATGACAAGTCTACTTGAAGCAAAAATTGAATTTCGATTCTGCCGACTTGATCAAGCTTGCAGCGTCATGCAAACTTGAACGTGTGTATGAGCGGTCAAGTATGCATGACGGTAGTCGGAGCAAATAAGCGAGAGACGCCATACTTTCAACTGATGCGGCATTATGCAAACTTGACGGCGAACTTGAACGTGAGTGGTCTGTATGGATGCACTGCAAACTTGACGCCGCTTCAAGCGCGCTGCAAACTTGACGGTAAACTGGATCGTGTATGGCATCCATTAGAGTATCTACAGCCAAGCTAAAGAGCGCGCGGATCACTCATTGCCCATAATGCCAAGCGCAAGCAGGTGTCCTTTAGATACTGATAGACTGATACATAGATGAAGCGGTTGAATAGTGATGCACCCATTATTTACGCTTATGAGTTAATCTAATTTAGTTTATAATTTGAATTTATAATTTTATTTTGTTAAATTATTAGGTATTTAGTAATTACGTAGGTAAGTAAACATATGGTAGGCTTTCGCAGGTCAATAGAAACAGGAATGGATTTATAAAACGATGTTTATTGATCAAACACTAAAACCTAATTAATTTACTGCCCCTTAAAACGCGTTAGCTTATATATAATAGACGTTTTGATTGCTTGATCACAGTTTAATGTTCAAGATGTTTCAATCTAATGTCAATATATTTTTGTATGTTTATTTATTTCATTAGCTTAAAAAATCATGAACATAGCATACACACGTAATTACGTAGTTACTACCTACGTAAATGACTGCCTGCTAAACTAGTTCAAGAAGTCTTCTGTCGTTTTGGAGCACCTTTAGAGATTGACAGCGATCAAGGAAGGAATTTTGAGTTTCAAATATTCCAGGAAACTTGCTGAGTTATGGGTACTCATAAAACAAGAACAACTTCTTATCACCCACAATCTGATGGAATGGTTGGACGATTTAATCAGACATTGGAGAGGTACCTAGCAAAAGTTGTGGAAAATCGGCAACGATATTGGAAAAAGCACACACAACAGTTTTTGTTATCATATCGAAGCGCTGTTCACGAAAGTATATCAGTGACACCAGCTTTCGCAAACTATGGAAGAGAATTATGGCTGCCTGCAGGCCTGATCACCGGAATACCACCTGATGCCCCACACAGTATAACCGATTATGACTTGCGGAACAAAATGAATGACATTTATGAGCACGTCAGACAATCGGGCCAGCAAATTGCGTGCACTATCCCCGTCACCACTAATCGGGTGACGGGGATAGCACGCAATTGAGGGAGGGCGGGAGGTGCTCTTCATACTACACATTTTATTTTATAACGCGGATATTTGCGAAGTAAATTTTTCTAAAAGCTTTTATACAAAGTTAACTTCTAATACTATGATTATATTATAATTAAGTATTAAAAACCATGTTATTTATAAATATTCGAGTACGACGTGGCACATCACTAGCTCTGATTCGGGGAAAGCCCGAAGCTCGAGGCGCGGGGCACGTGCGGTGTCTCCCCGGTCGCGCGCCTCACGCTACAACAGGCTTCGACACCTTACCCCCCGTTTATATTGCGCGAGCGGCGAGGCGAGTCGCGAGGCAAGCCACGAGGCGAGAGTGTAAACGCTAGCTCGTGGCTCGCCTCGCAGCTCGCCTCGCCACTCGCGACGCTCGTGTCGGAGGCGGTTTTTTGGGCACGAGGCAAAGGGCCTCGCGAGCGACGCGACCGCCCTCGTAGGTACTAGCAATTTATATAAAATTATGAAACTGAAAAGGTTCTGTTCCGATGAATAGATATCATCCACCATATTCTTCCTCAACGAAGTATTTTTTTTTAATTTCCTTCTTTTTATATTGGTCAAGTATCGATAAATACTTATTAAGGCAAGAGTTGATGCCGCTACTATTTTGACGTCTTTCATAGTCGCTGGCTCAACGGAAACTGTACGCATCGTGAGAGTGTAAACAGGCACTCGTTACCTCGCAACAACACGCGAACTGCGAGGCGAGGTACGAGGCGAGGTGCGAGGCGAGAGTCTAAACCCGCTATTAAGTAATTTTGTTAAAATCACTGTTTTCTTATCGAAATATTACATACCTATGAAAAGAAATATCATTTTTATTCTTAGTTTGCTTTTTGTGAATTGTTTTAACAGCTTGGTACTGACTGACCTTTCGTGACTAATCTAATGACGTCTCCCTTGCCATTTCGAGAATGTTCATACCCCTGCTTACTATT